ACCGTAAGCTTTCGGCTCTCACTGACTAATCAGCCTAACCAAATATTGATTAAAACAAAAACGACCAGACCAAGCAATCACTTAAAACTTTGTAGTTTTCTAGCACACAGTCCGCCCAAACTGTTTGCGCGGATGTTCAGTATTTTTGCTAGACCACAGTTAGAATACGAAATGCTAACAGGGATGTCGTGGATGAAGAGAGACAGTGATCCCATCAAGCAGATGCAACGACAGGAAACAAAGCTGGTGGACGGTCTTAGGACTCTGTCTTATCCTGAGACGCTAATTAAGCTTAATTCGTTTTCCCTATCCTATAGGCAAGCGAGGTGCGATCTACAATAGACATTACGTATTATCCACGGACATTCCTGTTAGCTGAAATCCGAGAATTTCTTTGAGGTTACGAACACGACTCAACTGCGCGGCCATCCTTACAAGGTCAAACGTTAATGTATACGCCTAGGTGCAGGTAAGCTTTCCTTCAGGCAGCGGGCGGCAGATGGATTACTTAATATTTGATAACCACAAACTCTCAATGCAGGACTATCTTTCGCCAGCTATGACCTTTACTTCATGATTCCAATTTATATGTGATGCACCACTACGCAGTTGCTGTAAAAGTAATCTTGTAAACCCTACATATAACTATATTTCATACTGTGCCTATGTCATTGAATTTTTTTTACCTCGAATGTACATGAATAAGGTCATCAAGGGTAAACGCCAGTAACTCTCAAAATATGCAATATACAGTACACCGATCTCCAGCTTCGTGTGCTTCTACTGGCTGTACGGTATGAAATGAATTGTCTTACACTCGTGAGAACGAATAACAAAAGCAAGTTAATGCGCATCCGTAGTGCAAACCACTGTCGGTGACAACTGATGCCCCCATTTAAGAGTGACCGCATGGTCCTGTAGGCATCCCGTTGAACTTTTGAGAACGCACTCAAATCTAACATCCTGCGTGTTTCCGCTTTATGCCCTATTGGCAGGCAAAAGCAAAGGATAGTGCCAATTACCCGACCCCCTTGCAGCAGGCAAATTACGATAAAGATAGCACTACCGACAATGACAAGGGAGACCGAAGTAGCAGATTCTGACGTAAGGGTCGTTATCAGCCAGTCATATCCAACGCCAAGTGGTGTCCGACCCAAGCCTCGAACTCGCGAACTTTTGATCAGAAGTGCAACGCTCCAATCATTGAGCCACGGGCTCCTTGTCTTGCCAGTTTAGATCGAGAGATATTGGCAGTCGTTGATTAACATTCACCGACCGCTAGCAGAACTCACTTGTTCCGCCAGTAGCAGCACAGCGGCTAGTAGTTTAGGCATTACCGCATGAGTACAAAGGAGAAGGGTGAGGGAGAACGTGATGCCAAACGAAGTAGTTGGAAACAATAGATGTGTGCACAGATGAAAGAGAGAAAGGAAGGAATAAGCAGCATGTGTAGACAACTAACCGGAGCGTCCGAGACTGTCGCGGGCGGGTGGCGCTTAGTGAGGGAGTAGACATACAGCGGCAGGAGAAGGCGCTGCAGCAGGATGAGGAAGAGCACGTCCGTCAGGTCGGGTATGCCTAGCGAGAAAATGTCATCGAGGTAGTGCAGATGATCAATCTGCTCCGCGACCAGACCTTCCAGCCGGCCGTAATTCTGGTGACTACAAGGGACCATGCTTGTATGTAGAATGCGAAAAAAGGACCAGCAGAATACATAAGTGCGTGTTAGTGGTAGGCAGAGACTGAAACTCACGGGCTATTTTTGCTTTAGCAGTGCTTGCATTTCGAAACGAATGCTAAAACACTATACATTACTGAGACTTATAGAGCGTGACATCTAAGCAATAACTACCAAAGAACCGGCTTATCATCCTGGGTTTTATAGCCTACCGAAACAGCATGCAGATTTGTTCAGCGCCTTACTGTTGACGTAGAATAAAACACCTGTAAGTGGTTAAAGAGGAACAACTCCTTTAAAGGCAAGTTCCAAAACCGCAGTACTCTAGGTTCAAACGTGTTACTGCAGTTTTCATCTTTTATTTTCCCGACACTAACAGTGTTCTTGGAGCGTGTTTTTGGAGCGTCTATCTTAGTACTCAAATATACGAGCTTGAAAACAAATTCATTGCCAACAAAGACAAGGGAGACTGAAATGACAATTTCTGGCCTACTAGCTCTCGTCAGCTAGCCATAACAGGTGGTGCGATACCCGGGCTAGAAGCCTCAAAGAGTTGATTAGAAGTACAACAGTCTAGCCATTGAGCTGTGCGGCCGCTGGCCCGGTCCGTGGCAGAACAGGACGATTGGGTTCCGCAACCTATTCACCAATATCAAATTCTTTGTGTTCGGTGTTTGATGAAGCGACTGAAATAATCAACAACCGAATACGGGGCCAAGATCATACTTGTATAGGACACCGTAAAATTAATAGTATCATGTAATAAGTTCACAAAAGGCTCGAGTTTACAAAAAGGACGGCAAAGAAACTGCCTAGTAGACCTTTCAATCTAAACAATTTGAGTTAAAAAAACCACTGACATGAAACGCAATATCTCATTTAGTTACCAATAGAAGAGTTTCTTAGAAGATGTAAAGTGCGAAGGTGCTTTTGGTCTTCTCGCTCGGGCGAGTGAGGGAAGAGAGCGAGTGCGATAGATGCAACGCAAGTCTACAATCACTTAAATGCAATTCTTGCCTACTAACCTAAATATACTGAACTATACTGAACTAAGTCACCGTCCCCGCACCAGCACGATTTGGAATATACTATGAACACAGTCAGAATAAACGGTCCAAATGTCGGATTGCCAACTGCCAGAATACGTCTTTGCGTCAATGAAAAAAAGTGCAACCGAAATACGGACCCTTTGGCGTCCTGTCGTCAGAAGATGGTGCCGCAAGGAGCAGCCGCGAAGGTTGTCTAAGGGAAGATTACAAGGATGCAGCCGACTGGATTTTGAGTGTGATATTTACTGGAGTACCGCGCAGGAAGCACTTGTTTATTATGATCAAACAGCTCAATTAACAAGCCCATTACCATTCTTGCAGCGCCCTGCCACTGTAATGCAGCCGAAGACTCACCGTGTAAATATTACCATGTCAGAAGCTAAACATGTCTGAAGCCAACTATATGCGACCCCTTCCTCTCTTTCTCTGTCTGGATACCAGTCGTATTCCAGATAGGGAAATAGTGCCCCGCAAGAACTGTGAAGTTGAACAACAGCATGGCTAAGCGAAACCCAAGCGTTACGCTTGGTGACGCCGCTTCTCCAGGCAGGAGAGGGCTTTAAACAAGAAGATTTGACCTCAACGAGACACCCTGTCGATCATCGCTGTTGGCTGGTGTGAGGTGAAAGCACTTTCCACTGTGCATACCTTAACGGTGCCAATTTGTGGTCTGGCAAGCGCACCCCAGCAGGCAACAGCCGCATCGCTGCACTGAGCTAATGCTCGCGTTCGCACGCAATGAAATTATGCGCGTGCTGCCGGTGACGGTTCGTATAGCATGCAGTGCAGTGCACAGTTCGTAATCTCCTCCGACAGGGTCAATTTGCATGCTTACTGAGTGGAAGACGTAGGGCTTTGCGATGGAGAAGCATGCGGAATCAGGGGTTTGATTCAAGTTGGGTTCTCTGCAGTCCTTAGTTTGTCCTCCGAATGGAGGTTCAGCCCGCTGCGGTAATGTCAAAGACCTGTCATCGGATTCTGTGCGCCGTTGTATAGGGCATTCAGTGGGCAGACCTCAACCACCAGTATTCTGCCAGTACTGCCACCGCTGATGCAGAACAGTATAATCACCAGATGAGGATGCATGTTTGCTTCAAAAACAACTATCACTAAAAGGAGTTTAACTATTCCCCACTCGGGTGTGCAACAAGTAGACTGAAGCTTCGTTAACGGATAGATGCAGCCTGGGGCACCACTTGGGGTTGGGAATGGTTGGCTGATGACGGCTAATGAGCCAGAATTGGCCATTCTAGTGTCCTTTGTCTCTGCCTGCAATGCTATCTGCCCAGACTACTAGCCGATCAATGAATGTTAATCACTGAGTGTCAATATCTCGCGATCTAAACCGGCAAAACAAGGGGCCCGTGGTTCAAGGATTGGAGCGATAGACTTTTGATCAAAAGGTCGCGGGTTCGAGCCTTGGACGGAGCAGCACACGGGGTTAGGTATGGCTGGCTGACGACAACTAATAAGCCAAAAATAGCCATTCCAGTCTCCCTTGTCTTTGCTGGCAATAGTACATGCCTAAAGTGAAGCAATGTCTGTGCGCCACCTCGGCTGCAGCTGGTCTATTAATAAGATGGCGTGGCTATGATGACCCCTCTCCTGTAGGCATGTATCCCCAGAGGTAAACAGGTCTGATATTATTTACCAATCACCAGCTCAATGGAATAAGCAAGCAGGTGGTTTAAGTGCAGCTAAGTTATCTTCTTCCGGTGGATCACACAACATAGCAGCAAATAGTATATGAAGGATGCTTTTTAAAGAGAAACCGATAGCTGTAGCAGAAACGGGTCTGCTATTAGGAACCTAGAAAATTTGTCGGAAGGGTAGACTAACAGTAGAAAACTTAGTCTTGTTTTGGGGTAGGTGCACAATCTAAACTTAATAATGACTCCAACTCACAAAGGGCACGACAGCGCTGCGCCATCGGCACAGTAGTGGTCCCCGTTACGTTGGATGCATGACTTAGCACCATGAAACCGGTCTAGTAAGTCGACAAATTAAACTGATTATGGCTTATACCCCGTCGTCGACACAGCGCCAATAATTGTAGTCGATTGATTCAAAGTCTCGATGCAGCGTTCAGTAGCCTGGGGTGGTAAAAGCGAGTTGGGGGTGAGTGCGCAGATAAGATCAAGCTCTGACAAACAAATGAATGAATGGATACACGAAGTAAGATGATAGGAGTGCGTGCCAGAAATATTGGCAAAACAAGCATTCGTTCATTGTAAGAAAAACTAAGGCTTGCAACATGCAAACGGACTGTACTGCGGATGAGCATTGCTGAAAAATAATGGAAATTTCTGGCTTATTGGCAGTCATAAGCCAGCCAAATCCAACCCTAGAGGTGATGTAACCCTCTAGCCATTGAGTCACGGGCTCGTTGTCTTGTCGGTTTAAAATCGGGTTGCGTATGGCCGGCTGATGACGACTAACTAGCAAGAAATACCAATTTCAGTCTCCTGTATTTGTGTCGGCAATGCTCATTCTACCCATATCACTAGCTTCTGTGCGGTTGCTGACAGGGTCTCAAAAGTGAGTCACACGGTAGTACGGGACGATTGAGTCCGGCAACCGATCAGTGAATTTCCATCCGCCCAAGACTCCACAGCGCCCGAAACGGCTTTCGTACAGGCGCACAGAGATGGTATCCGCATCCTCCTCCCGACAGACCAATTAAAGTGTATATAATTTGATGTTGTACCTTACTATACTAACAGTCTAGGTACTAGCTTAAAGGCCCAGACAGATTTTTCTTCGGTATTCTGCTGCTACTTGACAGAGCTGAGAGGGGTCCGGCTCATCAGTGGATCCTCCAGCTTTCTCTGTTTCCTTTCTGATTGATATACCGGTTTTGAAAGTTCTGATTTTTTAATTTTCTTAGAAATTAATTTCTGTTCGCGGTGTACATCAGTATTTTTAAGGTCTATAGGCTTAGACTGAAATTGTAAGCGTATATTTGTGTTGAAACACTAAGTTTGCATTTAAATGTATCTGTCGTGTTGACGGGTTTCAACCCAAATATACACTTACAATTTCGGTCTATGCCTATAGACCTTAAATATGCTGATGCACACCGCGAACAGAAATTAATTTCTAAGGAAATCAAGAAGCTGAACTGCGTATACTTTCCTGAGCTGTAGTTATGGTCATCGTGTCCCCTTGTCCGATTGCTTCTTACTTAAAGACGAGACTGATGATGATAGTGAAGGGGGAGGGGCAGTGAGGGAGGGGGAAAAAGCGGTAGCTGAACACACTTGTAGACCAGACAAATGCAGTCGTTGATGGATAATGCTGTCCTTCTCATCTCATCGGTCAGCTGCGAGAAGTAAGGCACCGCGGTATAGGCGTAGACGAAGAAACTGCTCGGCACGTGGCGGACTGTAGGAGAAAGAAGAAAACATAACATAATTAAGTGGTAGCAAGTGAGTACAGTACGGCCTAGAATTCGTCTAACATGCGAAGATATGCGAAAGATTGATAGGCACTCGCTAATCGGCATTGAGTAAGGTTGTGATACTGATTATCGTGTAGGCTATTCTCAAAACATTTCAGTCACTATAGAACGTCGGCTTTTTAATTAGCTTCTTTCTGAACGCTAACAAAACGTACGTACTGTAAACAGTAGCTATTTAAGTAGCATGCATTTTTATCATTGACTTTGCCGTTATAAATTCAAATACATTTTATGGAGAACATAAACGAAAAATATTATTTATTGTACTCGTTTGGTAGGAACTTACAGCTTCTTTAAATTTAATACATAAAGAAAGGGTATCTTTCGGTTTTAAATAAGTTCCTAATTATGACCTTGATACGATTGTGAGGTGTTCATTCATTATACGTCATAAGCCACATCTATTGCAAAATTTTTTGAGGACTTTGTGACTTCTTCCTCAAGCCGTAAGCGAAAACGTACTCTTCCTTAAACAGGATGCACACAGCGTGCAGTTTGTAAACCATGAATTCAAGTCAATAAGATTCAAAATTATTCGGCAATTTAGAAACTTTTTAAAACCGAAAGATGCCCTTTTTATGTATAAATTTAAAGAAGGCGTAATTTTTTACCAAATGAGTACAATAAATATTTTTTTATTCTATGGTTTCCACAAAATATGTTTGAATTTCTAAGGACAGTCAAAATAAATTACAAAAATGCATGCTACTTAAGTAGCTACTTTTTACGGTGCATATGTTTTACTAGCGCTCAGAAACAAGCCCATTAAAAAGCCGGCATCATATCGTGACTGCAATGACTTCGGAATAGACTACAGGCTAATCAGTATTACAACCTTACTCAATGCCGATGAGCGAGAGAGTATCAATATTTCGCATATGTCGGTATGTTACACGAATTCTAGGCCGTACTGTAAATACGGAGCGAAATGGGGGAGGGGGCGAAAAGCAGAATACCTACTCTTAAAGGTGTTCAGGGTGATTGTCCGCACAGCGGCACGCACCATGGACATAACGGAATTATAATTTAAAGCATATTTTCCCTGGTGGATATCCAATATAGTTTATAGACAGGTCTAAAATGACGGAACAGTCAGTTCCGAAAAAGCTTGTCTTCATATCCTTGCCCTTTAAGGGCGTCAATATTCTAAATACCATCAAGAAACGCTAACATATTTTGCTGCTGAACTTATATTCTGCAATCCAACAATACCCCTACCAATTCCATGTGCGAAAGATGCCTTGCCGTTACAGGCCACTTCAGATTGTGTTTATGAATTTACATGCACTTGCGGATGCAACGGCAAACGCAACGGCAATTGGTAGCCAGAGCCAAGAAACACCTACCTAGTAGGTTATTGAAACAAGAAAATGGAACTCCTCGTTCATTGATTAATGAACATCTGCTAGATGCGGGCCATTTTGTGGACCCAAAACTTCTTTCCGAGTACTTGTTTGGGCACGAACAACTCGTACCTTACGCTACCTGGAGGTAACCTACCCGACCTATGTAAACAGCTGGAGCATGTAGTGAACCTAACTCCGCCCTGGTAACACCGGCTGCCTGATTATACATTTTCTTTCCCGACTTTTTGCCTTAGACGTTTTTACTCACCTTTGCTGCCCACATTCAGGTCAGGTCAGGTCAGGTTTTATTGAGGGAAATGTAGGTAAATGCCTTTGAACTCCCTATTGGTACAGAACAGTTATCAATGCATTTTTTCAGCAGAACATTTCAGAACAGTGGCGTTGCCAATTATTGGAACTTGGTAAGGGAGGGCCGACAGTGAAAAAAACTCCTTAGGCATGGTTTAGGAAGTCTGGGGGTTTGAATGCCATTTGAGAGATTGAAGGAGAAAAACTGTCGCCCGTGGAGGTGGGGCGGTGGGAGTATATTCCAATCGGATGGCCTATGCTAAGAGTGTTTGAAGCATGTCAGTGTTTTAACTTTCTCAAGTCAATGATTCGCCTTCTTGGCAATTTCCTATGATCTCACTGTTTGTATCGATTTTTCTGTATTAATTCGATTTTTTTGTATTTTCTCTTACGTGATTCACGTTATGCAAAGAGAGGAAGCAGCTGATGAGCACTCTCGAAATTAATGGATGCAATAAATTCTGCTATTTACGCAATCTTCAAAATAACAGAATTAACTGG